GGGCAACGCCCCTGCGGTACGTACAGGGATATTTTTGTAAATACGTCCATATTAGGGTTATATAAATACTTAAGATGTAACCCTATTTCAATAATGAAAAAGAACGGCCGCTCGCTCTCGTGGATGTAGGCACATTGCCGAACCACGTAAATCTCTGTGTGTTATTTTCTCCTGCTTTCTTAATTGTTTGATTCCGTACTATTCACCATAATTGCTGCACGATCACAATAATTGGTATCAGAGCTAGACTACGATGTCTGGGATTTCCTCTACAAAATTCGACATCATGAAGTTCGACGGAGCTGAGAATTTCGAATTATGGCAGAGGAGGGTGAAAGACCTATTAGCGCAGCAGGGCATGGTGAAGGCATTATACGGAAAACAACCGGCATGAATGGACGACATGAATTAGAAAGAATTGGAAGCGAAGGCTGTGGCGACTATTAGGCTTTGTCTGGCTGATGAAGTGATGTATCACATCATGGATGAGGAATCACCGGCGAAAGTTTGGTTGAAACTAGAAAGTCGGTATATGTCCAAGTCGTTGACGAACAAGCTCTATCTTAAGCAGAAACTATATGGTCTTAAGATGTCAGAGGGCTCAGATTTGACCCAACACATCAACGAGTTCAATCAGATCATCAGCGATCTGAAGCGAGTTGATGTGAAGTTCGAAGACGAAGACAAGGCGCTGATGTTGCTGAATTCCTTACCGGCGTCTCCTACGTACGAAAATTTGGTTACGACTCTGATATGGGGGAAAGAAACCCTCGAATTGGAGGATGTCACAGGTGCTCTATTAGGTTTTCATCAGCGGAAGAAAGCCAGTGATGAGGCTTCACAAGGTGAAGGGCTTGTGGTGAAAGGTAACCATGAACGTGGAAGAAGCAAATCTCGGAATGGATCGAGTAACAATAAAGCCCGGTCCAAGTCGAGGAAGAAGAAGAAGGACGTCTCTGTCTCGTGTTACAAGTGCGGGAAAAAGGGCACTTTAAACGGGACTGTCCAAAGAAAAAGAAAGGGGATTCAGAGAACAAAGAGGGTGCATCAAAGTCTGCAAACGTAGTGGAAGAAGAAGATTCAGAGAGTGGTGACGGAGATATGCTTTCTGTTTTATCTAGTTCAGATCGTTTAACAGATTCTTGGATTATGGATTCAGCATGTTCCTATCACATGACACCCAATAAAGATTGGTTTGACACCTACAGGTCAGTAAATTCTGGTTTTGTTCTGATGGGTAATGATGCATCTTGCAAAGTTGTTGGAATAGAAAATATTAGAATTAAGATGTTTGATGGTATGGTTAGAACGTTGTGTGATGTTAGACATGTACCAGATCTAAGAATTTGATTTCATTGGGCACTTTGGATTGTAATGGTTATAGTTACAAATCTATAAGTGGAGTAATGAAAGTAAGTAAAGGCATGTTGACAGTGATGAAGGGACAGAAAGTAGTAGGAAACATTTACAGACTGCTGGGTACTACAATTGTAGGTGGAGTTGCTGCTGTAGAGTCTGAATCAGATAATACAGTCTTGTGGCATATGCGGCTGGGTCATATGAGTGAGCGTGGGATGATAGAGCTTCATAAGAAAAATCTATTGAAAGGTGTCAAGACATGCAAGCTCAATTTTTGCAAATATTGTGTTCTTGAACAACATAATAGGGTGCAGTTCAAGACAGCCACACACAAGACAGAGAGGGTTCTCGACTATGTCCATACAGATGTTTGGGGACCAGTTAGCGTACTATCACGGGGAGGATACATGTATTTCGTGAGTTTCATTGATGATTACTCACGAAAGGTCTGGGTGTACTTCATGCGGCACAAGTCAGAAGCGTTTGCCAAGTTCAAGCTGTGGAAAGCTGAAGTAGAGAACCAGACAAGGAGGAAGATTAAATGCCTCAGGTCAGATAATGGTACTGAGTACACAGATTCAAAGTTCCAGGAGTTGTGTGAGCGACATGGGATCAAGAGACACTTCACAGTCCGCAAGACACCACAACAAAATGGTGTAGCGGAAAGGATGAACAGAACGATAGCCGAGAAAGCTCGGTGTCTCAGGTTGAATGCAGGGCTTGCAAAGAATTTCTGGGCGGAGGCAGTGAATATGACATGTTTCTTGATTAACAGATCACCGAGGGCAGCACTAGATGGGAAAGTATCAGAGGAGGTGTGGACAGGCAGTGAGGTAGACTACTCTGGTTTGAGAGTGTTTGGATGTCCAGCCTATGTACATGTTTCTAGTGAGGAGAGGTCGAAGCTTGATGCGAAGTCTAGACAGTGTATCTTTCTGGGATATCAGAAAGGAGTGAAAGGCTTCAAGCTCTGGGATCCGAAGGCAAACAAGATGGTGATCAGTAGAGATGTGATTTTTGATGAAAAAGCCATGTTGCAGCGTACTCAGGAAGAAGAGAAACAAGTACCAGAAAACTGTAGCACTAATGACCATGTGGTGCAGGTGGAGCTAGAGAATCATGGTAGAGAAGAGGATGCTCAGCATGTAGAGCGTTCTATCTCAGGTGATCAACAACATCATAGTATAGCCACAGACAGGCCCAAACGCAATATCAAGCCACCTACCAGGTATGGTTTTGAAGATTTGGTTTCTTATGCGTTTATTACTAGTAGCGGGGATCCTACAACTTTTCAGGAGGCAGTACAAAGCCAAGAGAAAAGTAGATGGATGGGTGCTATGGTGGAGGAGATGGAGTCTCTGCATAAGAACCAGACGTGGGAGTTGGTGGAACTTCCCGAGGGGAAGAGAGCAATAGGGTGCAAATGGGTGTATAAGAAGAAAGAAGCAGTATCAGAAAATGAGGGAGAAAAATTCAAGGCTCGTCTAGTAGCAAAGGGTTACTCACAGAGAAAAGGGGTTGACTATGATGAGACCTTCTCCCCCGTGGTCAGACACACTTCCATCTGGACAGTGTTGGCACTAGTAGCACATTCAGATATGCAGTTGGAGCAGATGGATGTAAAGACAGCTTTCCTTCATGGCGACTTGGAGGAACGGATTTACATGGTACAGCCAGAAGGGTTCAGTCTCCCTGGAGAGGAACATTGGTCTGTAATTTGAAGAAATCACTTTATGGGCTGAAGTAGTCTCCGAGGCAGTGGTACAAACGATTTGACTCTTACATGATCCGAATTGGCTACAAAAGATGTGAGTATGATTGTTGTGTCTATGTAAAAAGGCTTGATGATGATTCATTTATTTTTCTGTTACTTTATGTGGATGATATGTTGATTGCTGCCAAGAGTATGAGTGAGGTCAACAAGTTGAAGACTTTGTTGAGTAGAGAATTTGACATGAAGGATTTGGGTGCGGCCAAGAAGATTCTTGGGATGGAGATTCGCAGGGACAGAGCTTCCAGGAGATTATGGCTATCTCAGCATAGCTATGTTGAGAAGGTGTTGGACAGGTTCAGCATGAGTTATGCAAAATCAGTAAGTACACCTTTGGCGAATCATTTCAGATTGTCTACCGCTCAGTGCCCGAAGACAGATGATGAAGTTCATGACATGTCAAAGGTCTCATATGCTAGTGCAGTGGGGTGTTTGATGTATGCTATGGTTTGTACAAGACCAGATTTGGCACAAGCTGTCAGCGTGGTTAGCAAGTTTCTTTCAAATCCGGGTCGACAGCATTGGGATGCAGTCAAGTGAATTTTCAGATACTTGTGGGGCACTACAGACTATGGCATCAGGTTTAGCAGACAACAGAGTGACCCTTCAGTTATGGGATATGTAGATGCAGACTATGTAGGGGACTTGGATGACAGGAGGTCTACCACAGGTTATGTGTTTACCCTTGTGGGAGGACCTATTTGTTGGAAGTCCATGGTACAGCCTATAATTGCACTATCTACTACTGAGTCAGAGTATATGACAGTAGCTGAGACTGCCAAAGAGGTTTTGTGGCTTACAGGTTTAGTCAAGGAGCTGGGTGTCTAGCAAGGTGGAGTTCAATTGCATTGTGACAGTCAGAGTGCCATTTATTTTGCAAAGAACCAGATGTATCATGCGAGGACCAAACATATAGATGTGAGGTTTCATAAGATCAGAGAACTAGTTTCTTCTGGTGAACTATTACTTGAGAAAGTTCACACTTCTGAGAATGCAGCAGACATGTTGACAAAGCCTGTTGCTACAAACAAGTTCAAGCACTGCTTGGACTTGATTAATGTCTCTAGTTGCTAGATGGGAGATGCCTCAACTCAGCGTCCCCGGTGGAGTTCCCGAATACATGTCCTCTTTTTTTTTTTCTTCTAAGGGGTGAATATTTGCCAAGGTAGAGATTGTTAGAGTATGTGTGGCTCATATTTGTTGTGTACATAATGGCAAGGAGGCAGATGCTGGAACGGGTAGAGCTCGCTCCGGCATCTGCCTTGCGAGATTTATATAAAGGGAACGCTGATTAGTTGGGGGTGCGGGGACAACTCCCCCGCGGTACGGTACAGGGGTATTTTTGTAAATACGTCCATATTAGGGTTATATAAATACTTAAGATGTAACCCTACTTCAATAATAGAAAAGAACGGCCACTCGCTCTCGTGAATGTAGGCACATTGCCGAACCACGTAAATCTCTGTGTGTTATTTTCTCCTGCTTTCTTAATTGTTTGATTCGTTACTATTCACCATAATTGCTGCACGATCACAACAGGAAGAGAGTATAATTTTCAGCCAATGCCCCCTAAATTATCATATGCACAAGAAGTGGTATTTTCTGTTGAAAATTAGACAACAATTACTAACAAAATTAAGAGGTAGAAGTATAAAACATGAGGGATGAAAAAAATTCTTGAATAGCTAGTGGATCATTGAACCAAATTTATTGATTTGATTAATCACAATCATTAAATTAATTAGCAGCAAGTCTCAATATTGGATGAAATATATTATCAATCCAACAATTTTAGTACATTAAATCACAAAAATAAATCAATAAATTATATACGAATAACATTATTTTTTTGACTTCCAATTACAAACTAGGACAAATTATATTCGACTATTCCACTATGGTCTTTATCTCACCATTTTTTTTTAACTATTGATGTTTTCACATTGTCCCCTCGACTCCTTGAATCATCCCCTCAAATACAAAAATAGAATATGTTTTAGACAAAAAAAATGTAAATTTGCCATTAGACAACTTTTTAGAAAATTTGCAAAAAAGTTAATTAGCAAGATAATACGAGATAGAGCCACAAGTGAGGGGTCGTAGTGTGATTTTCTCTATAACATAAGTGCGATTCTTGCCTTTATTCAGGGTGGTCTTCTCTGTTCAAGCATTATCCTCTTTTTATGGGGTGTCAATAGACTACAACATTGCTTATCCAATAATACATATCCATATGAGCAAAAAACATAACAATAATAATACATATTCATGATCCACTAAAACATTAGAATTTCTAACAAAAGTTAAGTCTAAATATTTGGAGTAATACAATTTAAGCATAATGTATAATTGCACCCTCCACATTCAAATATGGGTCTAGTACTATCAGAAGAATCACCACAGCTATAATACGAGGACCTTTTCCTTGCTTTCTGTACAAATTTTAGAGGGTGCGGATGACGGTTAACTTTAAGGGTGCCCTCATACTTGATATTTGAATATATATCTCTAATGCATTCTAGATCAAATGATTGATCGCAATCATTACAATGATAGATCCAATAGTTGGGGTTTATTTCTTCCTCACACATTTCACAATGAAACTCATTAGGATGTTCACTGAATGGAGGATAGGATAGTGTGAGGGGATGGTTGTCCCATCTATGCGTAATGGTATTGGGAAGTAGGGCACAACTATGTGCAAGATTGAACTTGCAAACTTCACATCCATATCCGTTTGTAGAGAAGGTATAATTACATGCCTTGCAGAGATGTTCTGAACCTTTTATTTGAACCAATGGATGCTTGTGAGATTGATGTGCAATCGAAGTAGGTAGGAAAGCACATTTGACATCAAGGAAGAATCCACATGCTTTACATGTGTAGAAGAATCCATTGTTGTATACACGACAAGCATTGCACCAGTAGGTCTCGTAGAATTTACTATGCTGAGAAAGTTGCAGTGGGTGTTCATGGTAAATTGGGAACTCCAATTCTCTTCGTAACCTAACACAATTTAAGTGGAGAAAATAATCACATTGACCACAATGGTAAAAAGGAAATGATACTGGTAGAACACAACCATCACATAGGATAATCCCATCCTTGATATCATCGTCCTTTCGCACATCAAAAAGGATTAATGGATGCTCGTGGCTCCAATGGATGAGCTCTGCCTCTCTCTCAACATCTTCAAGATTGGTATGTTTACCAAAATGTTTAGCCAGTTCTAAGGAACCATCGGTCACTGGTAAGTGTAGTAGATTAAGGTCGGTTGATTGATCAATTTCATTCTCATTTTCACCACCTCTGAAACCACAAAATTCCAAACAAAACATTTACTTGACAATAAGAAACTCACAACAAATATTTTGGTAGAAAGAGTAACAGAGTTGAACAAGACACAATGAGTAAAACTCACCTTAAAGACTCTGGAGTCATAATTGAACATCTCACGTGGATAAAATATCTACATTGGACACAACAATAAGCCCAACCATCCTTGGAAATGTAGAGACCACAAATACCACAATGCTGGTTAAAATTGGTTAACTCAGAATACTTACGGATGAAGGTGAGAGAATGATGGTGATTACTATGATTGATGATTCTAGGCAACGAAAGACAATTTTTATGGACCAAGAATTGAAAAGTCAAACATATATAGGACATGTCTTCACTTTTTATGCGGCAAACATCACAAATGAAAGAGGTTGGCCTAAGTATGGCGGCTAAAGGGTGTTCATGAACCTCATGTGTAATCTCTCGTTCCACTTCACGTGTAATCTCACGTTCCGGAATAAAACATGACATGCATATATTAAAATTGCAAAGAGAACAAAAGTAGTTGACTCGATCTCTCCATTCTTCACAACCATCACAAACATACATACCACTATAAGGCGAACTTGGATGGAGGGTTAGAAGGTGGTTAGAGTGTGTGTAGTGTTTAACCTCCCGGGGGAGTTTCGCACAATTTTTATGTAGAAAGTAAGAACACTCTCCACAATTATATGCAGAGTCAAATATCACTTTCTCACACGCATAGCAGAAACATTTGTCACCTTCACCCTCCTTTTGCACTTCTTTGAGGATCAATGGATGCTCATGGCTGAAATGTTGAAGCTCCATCTGTATGTCTTGGTGGGAAAGAGATCACGAAGAGATGCAAGGGTGGTAGGTTTTCGACGCTGTAACAACGAAATTGTATATCTGATAAGAATTCAATGATACATACAAGTATATATACTTTTTGGGAGGCATGCGACAAAAAAGGCCTTGTTTTTTCTTCAAATCAATTAGTTTGGAAAGAAAAATCTCACAAAATACCATAAAATCGTTGGAACTCACCGATGAATACCGGTACTACTTTCTCTCTTCGGCAGCGGCACTAATCTCTCAAACGGGCATTTTGAAGCCTCAATTTTGTTCACAAGAAATCACAGTCGACTTCGCCATGGAGTTTACAGACGAGGAAGGTGGTTTCCTCCACAATACGTTCTTCCCTCTAGTTGTTCAGACGGAGAGAGAGAAAAAGAGTCAGAAGAGAGGACACAAATAATGCAACATTTTGCACCTTGGAAAACAACATTACAGATAAGAACTATGGGAATGAGATGATAAGGCTACCACGTGCCCAAATTTGAGTAAAGAGTTAGACATGGGGAGAAGCCATCTATACAGTGCTGCTCAATAATTGCTTTGTAAAAAAGATGTGGCCCTGCGAAAACAGGACTTGATTACGGGACCCAAGTAATGATTTTGGTACCTTACTTTCAATTTTAAGTTAGAATTACTTTCAATTTTAGTTAGAAAGACATTCAGACAAAAGGCCCACAAAAAAGGTAGCTTTTTTATGCACTGAAATTATACAAACTAGATATATCGATGACACCCACGCATGAACCTTTTCATAAGCCACTCAAGATGCAGCAGAATATTCCCTTTTAATCCTTTGGAATTGTCTCCATGTTCAAAAAGGCTTTCTTGGGCTTTGGGGTGAAAGAGTTGATTCTATCGACTTCTATAAACAACAAATTAAAATACTTGGACAAGTGGTGTGAAACAACCAATTTCTCAATATAAAAGGCTCAACGAGCATGAGCCTCAAGTTTCAGAAAACGAATCTACATAACTCAATGTAGGAATATGTTCAAACCCTTGTAAAGTAGCAGAATTCCCAAAGCACAACCCAATGTCCTTCAACTCTTTTATTTGATTAGACTAGTCTGCTATTGTAGTTTTTAGCTTCAGTCCATCTATGATTTCAATTCCTCAACCGGTGAACCCCCGATCAACGAGTACTTTTTCTTTTCTTCTCTTTTGAACCACTTGAAATAAAAAGAATGTGTAGGAAGAGAGCTGAGAGGAGGCATCAGCTGTAATGTGTCTGCGCTGTGGCCAGTCGATAATCGTTTCACTACCTCCTTTTGGTTGTTGATCTTGGGAAGGAAATTGATTCTCAAGAGAACTGAGTCAAGTAAAAGAGAATTATAACATTGCTTTCCCAACATGTCTTTCATTCAAAAGAATGTTTGTAAGAAAGCAAGATTTTATTAGCATGTAACTTCTTCTTCTCTTTGTTCTTCACAAATTTATTATAAAAAGTGAACATGCATTGCTGTTTTTTTTATTAACATTTCTCCTATGCAATCTATGTCTATTACTGTTGATGCATATGTTCATATATTGTGTTCACCTGACATCCTTATGGTTGTGTTAAAAAATGATTCTTCCAGTTTTATAGGTACAGTTGATTTATAAAATAAATATTGAAGCGTCTCTACCAGATTCCTATTTTTAGGACATGGGTAATTTTGTGTTCTCTGCATTTCTTGATTGCTAGAATCTCTTGATTCTCAAATACAATACTTGCACACTCTATTCATTACTTCCTGAGATCATTACGTTTGTGTTAAAAATGCTGCTTCTATATTTGGAGTGTATTGTTATTTTCCGGCTAAGAATTCAAGTCTGTCTCTCTACCATGTTTTGGAAAGGATTCAGCAAAAGCCTACAAACTTCACAACACACCAATAAGCTCCTGTTTGAATTAAAAGCTATATCTTGCCCTCTCTACATCTCTCCTAACTGTTATAGTTGCTTGATTTGCAAATACAATGCATGTACAGTCCGTTTGTTACTTTCTAAACCAATGGCCATCTTTAAAAAGAATTCTGGCAATGTGATGCAGGAAATTCATCATGTCATTCCTACAGGGGTTCCTTCCTAATCTAGCTCTCAAAATTTTCTTATACATTCTTCCTACGATTTTGTTGATTTTGTCGAAGGTTGAGGGTTATGTAGCATTATCAGTACTAGAACGGAAGGCAGTAGCAAAATACTACTACTTTATGCTGGTGAGTGTGTTCTTGGGGAGCATAGTGGCTGGAACTTCTATGAGTAAAACTTGTCCAATGGTGTAACATATAGGAATAAGATGTCTTTTTTTGAAACTCTGCAACATGAAATGTTTTGCTTGCACGTGTGAATTTCGCAAACTCCACCCATTTTCATATTTAGAGTCTAATAGCACTAATAATTGGTGAAAATTCAGGTTTACTTTTGGAGTCTTCCTAGCTGCGCTGGAAACCATGTAATGTAGATGTTTCGCTTCCTACCCTGAATTATGTGGGAGTGGTTTCGTGTCTATGTTCTTTAAGCATTGACATACTTCATTTTACAGCCGAGGAATGTTTATCGAAAACCTGAATCTGATCTACAAAGCAGTAAGAAGAGGCTTGTAGAACTTGTTGAAGAGTCTGATGCTTTAAAGAAGGGGCGAGAGGAATCTGTAAGTACATAGAGTTCCATACCTTCCTTCATGTAAAGCTATGGGTTATTTGTAAGGATGAAGTATTGGGCCTTCTCCATATCTGACTACCATAATTGTGCCAGGATGAACAAGAGGAGGCACTAGATGACCTTAAGGCTATTGAACAAAAGTATAATGAGCTAAAGGTTTGGGTCATATACTCTTCCTTCTCCCTCTATTAAGCACTATGAAATGTATTATATCTCTTGTGACTTTAGTTTACAATCTCATTTTTCAGGGCAAGATGGGACAGTATGCAGACAATGATCCAGTTGCCTTTGAAGCAATGAGTTAAAAAATGCTATGCTTTCTATTGATCTTCAACTATATTATCAATTTTAGCGAATTTTTTATCCTTTGGGAATCAACTTCAACCGACCAACCATTCTAAAACCTTATGAGCATCAAAGCATTCTTACTTTTGATATTGCTGCTACAGAGGATGTTATCAAAGTCGCCCATGCTGTATTTTTTTTTCTTTTTTGTAACACATGAATTCTGGACTTCTACATTAAAGTGACTTACAAATTATCTTTTGGTTATGTATTAAAATATTTTGGGAAATTTGTATGTAGATTATGTTGTTGGATATTTTGATGATTTGTATAACTTTTAATAGAAGTATTGTATTTTATGTTTTTGTTAGTATGGTATTTGATGTTAGTTTGGTTTCGTTGTTGAATTAAAAAGATGTGAAATATGTTAATTGTGTTAGTTTGTTATTGAACACAGGTAATATTGGAGAAAAAGGTAAAAAAATTCAATTGAAATATCATTTTTTATTAATTATTTAAAAAAAAAAGATTTTTGCGACGAAATAAAAATCGTCGCAAACAATTATAGGATCAATCTTTTTCGCGACAATTCTTATACGTCACAAATATATTTATTCAATTATTTTTATTTATGTAAAAAATTATTTGTGATGATTTTTTTATGTTGCAAAAAATTAATTAAATGATTATTTAAACATTATTTGCGATGATTGTTTTACGTCGTTAAAAATTAATTAAATTATTATTTTTTGTATTTTTTATTTATGAAAAATTATTTGTGACGATTTGTTTACGCCGCTAAAATTTAATTAAATTATTATTTTCTACATTTTTTATTTATGTATAAAATTATTTGCGACGATTGTTTTTACGTTGCTAAAATTAATTAAATTATGATTTTTTTATTAAAAAAAAGTATTTGCGACGATTTGTTTACGTCGCTAAAAATTAATTAAATTAAAATTTTTTACATTTTTACCTTGGTGGAATAGATTTTAGCGACGTTTTTTAACTTTTTGAGAAGTTTTTTTTCGTCGCAAATTTTTTTTTTTTTGTGACAAAAATAAATTTGCGTCACCAAATAATGTCTGTGACAAGGCTATTGCGACGAACACGCGACGAAAAGAAGCGTTGCAAAAAAAGTATTGGCGACGATTTTTTTTTAATTTAGCGACGAAGAAAAACATCGCAAAAAAAGATTTTTGTTGTAGTAACTGTAGCCGAATTAAGGTCAGTTAATTGATCAAACTTTATTCTCACTTTCACCACCTTTGAAATCACAAAATTCCAAACAAAACATTTACTTAACAATAAAAAAAATCACTGCAAATATTTTAGTAGAAAGAGTGACA